AGGAGTTTAGGGTGAGGCTCTCAATGGGCTTGGAATTAGTTCCCATTGAAATGAATGGGACTTGATTCTAGGTAAACCTAGTTCAGATTGAACTCTCTGCTGCCTTCCGAGGAGACCTTTGCCCCGGTCAACCGGCGGAAGCCAGGTGAGGGCATCATCCCATGGGAACTGGACCCTTGTGCCATTGGAGCAGAGAGAATGCAGCTGCAGAGACCCAGCAGCTGCCCCCTTGATGGGTCAGGGCACTGAGCCGGGCCTTGACGATCCCACTCCCAGGGCTGTGCTGATGCCGCCACCAGTGCCGGGGTGCTAACTTAAATGGGTTCTCAAGTCGCATGGCAAAAAAACCCCAACACCATCTATTTTTATGGCTCAGTTATACAGCTCTATCCCCATCATTACTTTCAGAGAAACACTAGACGAAAAATGACTGAAAGTTAAATTTTGTGGCAGTACTGTAGGAAAAGCCTTATCTTGGAATTCATATATATGCAGTTATTGTAATCAATACGCTATGAAACTATTTGATTTCAGTCAGAACCACATTATCTGCTCTAAGAATAAACTACAGTACTGATTATGCAAATAGTCTATACCAAAAACAGTTATTTCAATGCCGACTGTAGTACAGATCAGCATACTGTAGTGAATAAAAAGTATAGGGATGGCTTGGTAATTACCATTTTAAAGTATAATAAACACTTCACTATGCATTATAATATAAATCACACTGTTATAACTAATACCATATCTTGTTTTGGATTTTAATTCTAAAGCCTATATTACTTCTCTCAGCATTGTGGCAAATTGCTTACGCCAAGCTCTTACATACTGAAACTATACGCTTTTTGCAAGAGCGGGCTATGAGAATTATCACGGGGCTAATGCTATATCTGTCAGGTTATTTTTGGAAACAATCAATAAAGATTTTTTACAAACCAACCCTGAACCCAAGTATGATGACATTTATGTGGTTCAGGGTGTTTAAGCACCAAGAGTTATAATTTTAGGGATTTAACTCCGAATGAAACATATCCCCCTGCTGTGTAGGAATCTATTCATTTTTAAAATCAGCTTTCTTTGTGGGCAGTAAACAGACTCCCACTAAAACTTGTGCATGATTTTAATTACAGATAAGTTTCTCTTTAAAGGCCAAAGCATTCATGCTCGCACTGCTAAGCTGAATTCAATACATCTATATGTTAAAGGTAGAAAACTAATGTGTAAACAGGGAAAGTATTGGAACCAATTGCAGTTAATTTGGTTTTGATCAATTCACATTGACTGCACTTTACATGCAAATGAGGTGTGCTAACTTAACTTAAATGAAAATAGCTGGGATTTGAAGTGTTTTTTAAACTGCTTCAGCCAGTAAACAAGGCACAGCAACAGGCAGTTCTGAACATGAAACATGCTAATCAAGTCTGCAACAGTGTCAGACACTCACTGCATACAAAGCAGACCAATAGAACGAAGTTAGGGTTAGGGTTAGGGTTAGGATGTCCAGTGTGGCATCTTAAAGACCAACAAAGTTTTATTCTGGGTATGCCACTGGACTCAAACTTTGCACTGCGAGGATAGATTCAGGTGGGGTAGCCATGTTGGTCTGAAGCAGCAGAACAGCGTTTGAGTCTAGTGGCACCTTTAAGACCAACAAAGTTTTATTCCTGGTATAGGCTTTCGTCTGCATTCACACATGTGCACACAAAAGTTTTTACTAGGAATAAAACTTAGTTGGACTTAAAGGTGCCCTTGGATGCAGACTTTGTTCTGCCGCTTCAGACCAACATGGCTACCTGCCTGAATATACCTGGAAGAGACAGCTTTAATTACAAATCAGAACTATGTAAAGATGCAAGGATAAATTTTAAGAATACAAAAAGTCAACTCTTGCAGACAATACATGTCTTTAGAAATTGTGAACATTGGCAATCCGATTGGCTGTGCATGTTGTTTTCTTTAAAAGCATTGCATCGGCT